TCATCCTCCATCTTAATCTGGTTAGAAGGAAAGAGACCAAAATGCGAAATTAGAATTGGACATTTTCTTTAATTGACTTGAGGCCTCACCAAAGCGAGGCTTCAAACAATGGTCTATAGACTTATCAAATGTTCCTCTCCACGGTAATCCTTTATTTGTTAGTGAAGTCCCTCTCAGAGTTTCATCATTGAAGGGACCTCCTAGTGCCAATGTTAAAGGTTTTTTTTGGTTTTTAGTTTTAAATTCAAGTGTATATGCTCTGTGCATTTTTTAATAAACAAAATTTCAATTTTATATTTTTAAGATAGGGTATGTACACCACTCAAATTATTGATTTCTTTCCTTTATCTTTTGTAATGGTAGTTGTTTGAGTTTTTGTTAAGTTTTATTAAAGTGCAGTAGAAGTTTTTGTTTCTGTTCTAATTCTATATGCATAAGTTGCTTGGTAATTCATTCAAGTCTTGTCTTATGGTGCACGTGCACAACCTGTGCTCTCAACATGTGCACATACTGCACACTTTCTTCTATTTCAGAAATCACAATTTTGTTAGTTCGAATAAATTCATTTGTTTTCCATAATTTAATTATTAATTCATATTCTCTAGTTCCTTTAACACAACGTATTATTAATTTGCATTTAACATTTAGTGTTTATCTGTACAAGTTATCATTAAACTATTGCCTTTAATTAATTTAAAAATTGGCATTCTAACAGTAAAAGGTAATATTAAACTATTTCCACTGTAGGAAAAGGAAAAATAATGAGCAAAGAACAACACCTCAATAATATTTATCATATAATAATTGACAAAAGTATGTATGTATGTATGTATGTATGTATGTATGTATGTATGTATGTATGTATGTATGTATGTATGTATGTATGTATGTATGTATGTATGTATGTATGTATGTATGTATGTATGTATGTATGTATGTATGTATGTATGTATGTATGTATGTATGTATGTATGTATGTATGTATGTATGTATGTATTCTGTTGGTTTAAGAAATTCAAATTTACCAACTTTCACAATTGTGAGACAAACCGCTACTTTAAGACACCGGCTACCAATAGAAAAAATCAGTTTTAACGTCTCCTTGGCTGCAAATGAACAACCGCCTTTGCTTACGTATTTATGTAAGTCTCTTACAAAGATAAGTATTTCCAAATATAGACGATTAAAGGATGACTAAAAGCATTGAAATTTGTAATAATAACAGCAAATGTTTATCATGCGTATATCTCAAAATGATTGTGCGCCTCGTCAGGCAAATATTCACAATTAAGCTCATTAATGCCAAAAATGAATAAATATTGGAAGGCTTGGGAGTAGTGTTGGTTTGATATTAAAGCTTTCAACTGTACAATTAGTTTTTTTTAAATGCCCAGATAAGAATATAACAAGCAGGATTTCTGCAAACATCCTTGGTTAGTTTCTAATTGTTTTTAATATAGTATATTTCTCATTGTTTTGCAATCTTAGTCCGACGTTTCATCAAATGTATAGTCTTGCTATAATGGTAAAATGCTGCATATGCTGCAATTTGTATCTCCATATATATTCGTGATATCGACTTAAAATATTATAACAGTTGTGGTATTATTATATGCCACCTATATGTGGATTGAGATTTTTTTAATAAAAATTTTGTTCGGTTCGGTTCGGTTCTGTTTTGCTCTATTCTGTTGTTCTCGGTACCAATATAAGGAGGCCTATGCAACACGGCTACCTCAAATACTAGAATTTCTTCTGACATCATAAAATAATGTAACAAAGGCAACTGTAGCAAATGGTTGTTGGTTGGCTTCCGTTAGTCTCGAGAGACGATGGAAATGCGCCCATAAAAGGTGTCCCAGTTTGTAGTTGTGCAGCGTCTTCTGTGGCTATAAAGCCCCACACGGGAGTGGCAATCCTTGCTGAAGTTGCTGAACTTAAAGTATGAGTCAGGTCTTGGTTGGAACTGCATCCTCTTACTCTGAGATCTTTTCTCATCGGCGAGCTGTCGTAACTTTTCCTCGTTGGCTTTCAGACCTGTGAACAGAGCATGTCGCCAGCTGGACTTGTCGAGGGCAAGCTCTTCCCAGGTGATGACCTCGATCCCAAGAGCTTTCATATCGTGCTTGCAGACATCCTTTAAGCAAAGATATGGCCGTCCGATTGATCTTCTGCCTGAGAAAACCTTACAGTAGAGAAGGTCTTTGGGGATTCGTTCATCATCCACTCAACGCACATGGCCCAGCCATCTGATGCGACGTTGGCGGAGGAGTGTAACAATGCTAGGAATTTTGGCCTGTTGAAGCACCTCGTTGTTTGGCACACGATCGCTCCAGGTGATCCCGAGTATGCGACGGAGACAACGCATGTGAAAGACACTGAGTCGTTTCTCCTGAGAGGCATACAGGGTCCAAGTTTCGCTGGTGTACAGGAGAGTGCTAAGCACGCAGGCACGGTATACGGAGATCTTAGTGTTCAATGTCAGCTTGATGTTGTTCCACACTCTCTGCGACACTCTAGAGAGAGTTGTTGACGCCTTTACAATCTGTTTGTTGAGCTCGGAATCGAGTGAGAGGTTGTTGGTGATGGTAAAGCCAAGGTAAGTGAACTCACTGTCTACTTCTAGTTTGTAGTTGTTGATGACTATGCTGGGAGAGTCTGCGTCCTGAGCCATCACGTTAGTTTTCTTTAGGCTGATGGTCAACCCGAATTCATCACATGCTTTAGCAAAGCGGTTCATCAGGCGCTGTAGTTCAGCTTCTGTGTGAGTGACTATAGCAGCAGCATCTGCAAAGAGCATGTCCCTAATGGTTGCTTTCCTTACTTTGCTCATTGCCTTCAGTCGTGCCAGGTTGAACAGCCTGCCGTCTGAACGCGTGTGCAGGTTGATCCCCTCTATGAACGTCAAAGGCGTACTTAAGCAGGACATCGAAGAAGATGCCAAAGAGCGTGGGGGCAAGGACACAGCCTTGTTTCACTCCGCTGTAGATGTTGAATCGTAAGAGATAATAAGCATCTTATACAATGTAAAACATCATATATAGCCAAACAGGCACAGAAATCAAAATAAAGATCGGATGTCTCTAACATAGGTCGATAGACAGATGGACAGATGATCGGTCAAAAGTAACCAAATTATAATCTTTTGTATATGCTGAACAATATACACACGTCATGAACCAAATGATATTGACACCAATTAGATTGCTCTAATGCTGCACAAAGCCAAAGATGGAGGTAGATTTTGACTCTTACCGATATGGTACCGACCCCCACCCCGACCCTGTCTTTACGATACTTCCATATCAGCAATTCAAGTCTTAAGGGTACGGCATAAACGACTATGCTTGCCTCACTGTATAAAGTTATATGCATTACCTCTCACTTAGCCGCTAATCATTTGCCAATATATGTATACAAAAGGCCATATAATAGCAAGGTTGCAAATCAAATATCATAATTGGATAGACAAATATGGTTTGATATCGTCAAGACAGATGCGTAAACAAGTTGGAGAGGGGTCGGTGGGGAGGATCACTTGGTAGGAGCCCAGTGGGGGATGTGCTCAGAAGCTCTTGCATTCTGTATGCTGTAAAGTTCATATGTACCTTTGTAATGTAACCTTTGGAGATGTTAATTTCATAAATCTTTACTTGTGGATGACAGTAAGCAAATTTGTGATGTATGACTTTGCAGTGAAATTTACATGCATATTAGGTATGAAAGTCGAATGTATGAGTTGTATTTATAATATAACCTTGTGAGGTGTTAACTTGAAAAAAAAATACCTGTGCTGGACAGTAAACAAATTTAAAATGTGTTTGTATATATTTGTGGTCATATTTAATGTGTACCAGTTTATAATAAAGTTCACATTCATGTATCTTTTGGCTTAGGTACTGCAGATAAGTTTGTGCCAACATTTTAAAAATAACTATGAATTTACAAATTACTTATAACTTTTATTTTTTTCCACTTCAAAAAGAGAAGGTATAGTCCTTAACAAAGCAGTGCGACAGTAAATTATATGTTAAATGGAAATTTTAAAATTAAGTTAATTTTATTAGTAGATGTACATATAATCTTGTTTACCATAAACATATATTAAAATACTTGTTAAAAATGATGTCAAAGTTGCTACTTGAATATATTTATACTGATTATATATCAATAAAATCCATCTATTTTAAATATTTTTGTTTATTTCACATCACCACCACCATTTTCCATATCACTAGACTTTGGGAACAAGGGTGTAACCTTAAATTTCATTACAGTTTATTTTTCCCCCATTTTGTCAGCTTTTTGGCTCAATGGTTTTGGTTCAGCCAGTAAAAGACATGGGTATCCCTTGCTGGTGGCACTGTAAGCATTAACAGTGTTAACAGTTTTGAAGCTGTGTAACATTCACATCTGTCTCAGTATTCAAATTATGTTTGCGACAAATTACTGTATGCCTAAAGATTGCAACATTATTATGTTTCTGGAGGCGAATTTTTTGATCCAATCTTTATCAAACTTGTAATTTGGGTTTCTATCACTCAGCTATCATATGAGTATTATCATGAACTAAACCATGCCTTATAATGAGGTGCTCATGCAACTCTGGAGTGAACATTTCTGAAAATTTCAATATAGGCATATATATATATATATATATATATATATATATATATATATATATATATATATATATATATATATATATATATATATATATATATATATATGAAGATCATGGTAATAATATTCTGATAAGTTTTATTTCATAAGATAAAAGCATAATTGATACAAATTCTATTTTAGCCTATGTATTTGGCACCTTTCTTCTACATTGTTGAATTTGTGATCAAGAAGGTTAATGGATACCACCATTTTGATGGGTACTCCAATCACTTTTTAAAACAAATGGGTCGTCATGACATGCTTTTCAAACTCTCGTGATATATACCCGATTCATTGCAAAAAGTACTAAATCAGCTATAACTCGGCTGGACCACTACAGTTGCCCAGTGGTTAGAGCGTCCGTCTCGGATGCGGGAGGTTGAGGGTTCTAATCCCGGCCTAATCATAAAAAGACATAAAAATAGATAATTAGCATTAAGAAGGTAGTGTGACTGGGTGTGACGTGATGCCCTCATTAATAGCGATCATTATTAACTGCAGACATCGTAGGGTTATGACTCAGTTGTTAAAACTATGTTACAAATAACACACACAAACACATAAAACGTGTTGCCAGTTATTTTTGAGTGCGATATCCAGTGAACTCTACAACTACCATAAATATCGGCCAATCTGACAAGCATACAACATACTTGTTTCACCAGCCTCTAATTTACAAATGATAATATTCATGTAACTTTTGTCTAGCATGGGGCTGTTTCATCCATGTTATATATTGGCTGGTAGCAGACATTTTACTAGTCGTTCAACTGACAGTTTGCTTATCTGCCCATAATTCCCGCCTTTACATAGCACGCACACATCTCACTATCCTTATGAGTTCCGAGTCTCAAATCAATAAACATGAGTATATGAGATTGCTTACCAGTTGCTAAGGCCGTGGACAATACAGGCAAAGTATGACAAGATTGGTGGGGTAGGGCACCGCCGAAGAGGACATTTACAAATAAGGGCCTACTGGAGAAATTTCCTAGGGCCCGCAAACTCTATCCGCGGCCCTGCCAGTAGCTTACTATTGCTCGGTAGTTCTTCCTCTATTAAATATACTGGCCGCAATGTATAACCTATCGTGTGTAGAAAAATGGCATTATACTTCATAAAGCAACAATAAACACATCACTCGGTCAACCCTCCCACCGAACACTTACACACAAAAGATTCAGTCACGCATTAATTGTCATTCCCGTAATACAGAAATAATACAGAGTTGTTGCAAACATAAATGATTATATGCATAGGAAAATAAAAAATATACAGATAATTAATACATTAGTGCATATAGTAATACATAACTGTACCAAACTATACCTAAAGATTTAAATCGACATGCGTCGAATCTACCTAACCTACCTACATACAACATGATAGGCATATAAAATATCCCCACTTACATAACATGCACAAAAGCTTATAGATATAAAACACACACACAGATATATATATATATATATATATATATATATATATATATATATTTACATATGTATATGTATATATATATATATATTTACATATGTATATGTATATATATATATATATATATATATATATATATATATATATATATATATATATATATATATATATATATATATATATATATATATATATATATACATCTTTACCAGTATGATGCAGAGCTTAGAATTTTACATGAAACATGCATTCATATATGTTCATGTTGAACACAAGCATGATAAAACGTTTAGTATCTTAAAGAATATAATTATAGAAGTTTATTACCTTTATTAAACAATTCTTCTTATTTGTAAATATTATAGCCGCGGTAATAAAGGACAAAAGATGGTTGGCTGAATTTTACGGCACACCAGCACAATGAGGCGATTTAGTGCCATACAAAGGATTATGGATTATATCTTTCATTATTTAGAAGGTATTCTATCGACCAGCGATACGAAACCAAATAGTTAAATGTAATGAAAAGAGAACCAAAGATCAATGAAATGTGTTTGTTTATTAAATTTTTAATTTCATATTTATGCATGTACCGGGCAAAAAGAAAAGCTCATGAAACGTATTATTTTTAAGTAGACTTCATTCGTTAGCGGTCGTCCATTACTTACATACACATATAGGGGATTTGAAAAAGCATATACCTACGTATGTGAAGGTAGAGAGTGATTGTTATTAAGTATGTACCTGCTGCACTATCGGGGTGGGGTGGGGTGAACATACTTAGTTCCTTTTTTACAAGAGTTCTACCGACCGAAAGGGCGCGTGTTTGAATACTATCCTTAAAACAGTTTGGGTCAGCTACCCTAGTATGTCCACGAGTAAAGTATTTGACTTTAATGGGGTTGGCACTAAAAAACGTACTTGCCTAAACCATATCAATCCAGAATATATGTTCAAACGAACATACTTTCAGGTTACATGTGAACATAATATTAACCACAATATCTCAATTTACCATCACAGGTCTTTAGCATCTATGTGCTCTCCCTCTTAATTTGTCTCCGTTTTACATTTTTTTGAAAGTATGTCATATAATGGTACTTTTGAAGCCATCTATCAACATTGTTCAAAGCTTCTCTCGCACATGTGTCATTTATTGACTTGATTAGGTCACGAACTTGTTGAAATAATTCCTCGCATACAAAGAATGTTTTAGGTACCCATAGTTTACTTTCATATGTTTTCAGTTTTAGACGGATTGGACCGATTAGGTCCATTCGGTACTAGCTTTCACAGGGGTCATTCGCGTTAGTAATTTAAAAGATATACCGATAGAGAGACAAAAATTTTAAAGCGACCGAAGAAAATTTTAAGTTCGATATCATATAAAACATGTTTAAAAGTTAATTTCGAAATGCCTAGATAGATAGATAGATAGATAGATAGATAGATAGATAGATAGATAGATAGATAGATAGATAGATAGATAGATAGATAGATAGATAGATAGATAGATAGATAGACAGACAGACAGACAGACTCGAACTCATACATACAAAGGTTAGAAAGCAGTGATCTATAATGGTGAGAGCTTTAAACCACTTGGGAATAAGAAACATAAATTAAAAGTTTGTTTCAAAACAGAGAAATAATACATCAACAAGTCAGATAATTTGCAATAATACATGACATGTTTGGGTTATATACAAAACAAAACACAAATATGTTTGAAAATTTATTGTTAACAGCATAAAATCAAACCTGCTTTGCCTATTTCAATGATAAAACAGAAAATTGATTTCATGCAATATGGCTAAGTTAGTTAAATATGATAGTTTTGCATTAGATATGTAACATGAATATAGAAAGCACAAAGCAAATCAAGTCCATGAAGAATGAACATTTTCCATATGCCATGTGTGTATGGTTTTGTTTATTGAAGTAACACTCAGACATTGCTTAAAGCAAAGTTGATGTGTGCCTATTACAATTATTCCATAGATCAAAGGGAGTTTTCTACTCAAACAAGAAAGTCCAGCATGCAAGTTTTATTTGCATCTGCACTGAGCACTTGTCCTCCAAATTGGTTACATTTTAATAACTGTATGATGAAAACAAAGTAACACAATTTTTAAACTGCACTAATTAAACAGAAGAAGGGGACTAAAATGATTAGATGCATGTACATGAAGTCCATAGTTACCAACACTCAACACAAAATATGAAACAATCCTTCATTGGAATCAGGGTTAAAACTTTTGCACTATTGATGCAGTAACCAATTATATATGATAACATCTGTGTCTCTGAATCAATCAGAACCAATAAATATAACAAAACAGTAACCTTTAAATTCAAATGTTGATAGATATTATACAAACAGAAATAAATTGTACTACTAAATCAAATTATTTTCAAGGAAACTTTTGCCCTTCTAACTAATGGTTATGCAACAGTGACCAGAATATTACACAATAAGTGTTCAAAATTTAGTATTCATCTTCTTCTAAAGCTTCAACTTCATTTTCTATTTCACCCTCATCAGCTTCTTCTAGTTTTATTTCATCAGATGCCAAATGAAAAATAATTTCATTAATATCTTCTCCCAAATAAGGCTCAGTAAGTTGAACAACTGTGTGGAAATTCATGGGAATATATTCAATGTCAATATTTCCTCTGAGCATATCTCTCGGTATGCCAATTATTTTTCATTATTAACACCCAAATTTCGCAGACAAATGAACTGACTGATCTACTTTATTTACAGAATTGTGAACTACTTTAAACACTTACTCATGCTGCTTCTGGTAATATTTAATTGTGCAATTCATCTCTGTTTTTATCATATCTATTTCTTCCTCACACCTATCAATCGTTTCAAGTAAATCTATTAAAACTCTTTTGACTTCATTTGCGACTTCTGTACCAGTTGTGCTAAGTTTTAAAGTATCAAAATCTAATATCTCTGGGTTGTGTGCTATTGGTCCCTCCTCCATGTTGTACTCTGTAAGCATTCGCTTCAATGTGGCATTAACTTTTTTCAACAGTTTTCATAGCCTGATTGTCACAGCTATTCCATGTAAAGGAAAATAAAACAAGAGCCGAGTCACATTTCTTTACAAAACTCCAACTTATTTGTTATCAATAAGATATAACTGTATAATTAATAAGATATGACTGAATCAGTAATACAATATAACAGAACAGACAATTATATTGTGAATGGTCAATTATATATAACAGAAAACGTTCCACTGGGTAAGAAATTTGAAATTTTCAGTGTCAAAATTCATAATGTAATTTGGATAATATGATTGCTTCATCAAAAAAGCCTTTTTTGTGCACATGCTTTACCTTTGGTAGAGCCACGTAGAATATAATCCTACATAAATCAGGGTTCCTTCCACATTTGCCAATATATATGATAATTATTTAAATATTCCAAACTTGTTTTCAATGACATTTTGTCCAAATGTTTCTTATTTGATCATGGTATGCAATCTGTTCTTCTTTGCAGAATCTATATTTCTTCTGAAGGCTTCCATTCCTAATGACCACGTTTGTGACTTAAAGGCTGTATCATACCGTTTCAGATCCTGTTCTGTCCTGAAATAAACACACACACACACTTACACCATTCATTTTGAAAGATGTATTCCAAAGCTTCATAATCACAAGATTTAGAAAATTTGAAGATTAGGTGGAATAAAAAAATATCATGATCATTTATTAATTATTCAAATACAAGTTCACTAACAAATCTTAATCTACTATTATGAATGAAGTCACATGAATGAATGCTTTAAAAACATACTACCCTCAATGCACAATTTATTCAGAATCATGTGGAGTACAATCAGGGCCATGGGTATGATTTGAGGACCCTAGGAAAAAGTATTCAGTAGGCCCGTATATGTAAATTTCTTCAGTGATGGGCCCCGATGAACATTGGGCCCCTAAAAGTTTGTCATAGTT